GCCCCTTTCTGCGGCCATGATGGCCCAGTCCAAGGCCAACGGCTCACACTACGCACTGACGGCCATCGGCCTGGGGATGCTGGTCCTCGGGGTGATCATGGCCATGTGGAACCTAGTCCCTGGTTTCAGTGCTGCAGAGAAGCCAACAGCTCAGGGCAACAAGACAGTGGGAGGTGGTGGCATCCTCAAGAGCAAGACTTTCTCAGTGGCGTATGTGCTGGTCGGCGCTGGCGTGATGCTGCTGCTGCTGTCCATCTGTCTGAGCATCCGGGACAAGAGGAAGCTTCGGCAGAATGAGGAACTGGCCCGCATCCAACAGCAGGCTGGAGCTGTGCCTCCCACGCAGGAGGAAGACAGGTGAGACACGCCCGACTGCTCCCCCCAGCCCCGGGCAGGGACACACGCACACAGACTCACTGAGAAAGAACTTTGTTCTACAAGTCTGTATTTCCCCTCTCTTCCAGGAAGGTGCCTCCTACCATCTTACAAATACCTTTGTGCTTACTAGATGCAGGCTTCCCAAATCCTGTGGCTTAGGTGGATTATAAGGTGTCCCACAGAAACTGGTGGGGTCAGTGAGGACCAGGGCTCTAGGTTGCTTGTTTCTCTCTCTGCCCCAGGCGCTTTACGTGATTTGAAAAGGACAAGGCACAATGTCTCACGTGACCCACAATATCACGAGTGTATTTAAGAGATAGATGATAGATGGGGCAATATGTGATGAAAGTTGGCATCTCTCCGAAGATCCGTTTCTGTGGCTGTGATTAAAAGCACTCTGAGGAAAGCAGCTTATGGGGAGAAAGGACTTACTTAGTTCACAATTCCAGGTCACTGTCCATCATTTAGGGGGTGCCAAGGAGGCAGGAGCTTGAAGCAGCTGCAGTGGGTCGCATCACCCCCACTGTCAATAACGGAGAGCAATGAGTCAATGCATGCGGATTTGAATGCAGCTCCATCCTTCCTTTTCATCCAGTGTTGGCCCCCGTCCATGAAGGGCTACCACCCACATTCAGGGTGTATCTGCCGGCAGCTGCAGCTGGTCGCATCACCCCCACTGTCAATAACGGAGAGCAATGAGTCAATGTATGCGGATTTGAATGCAGCTCCATCCTTCCTTTTCATCCAGTCTTGGCCCCCGTCCATGAAGGGCTACCACCCACATTCAGGGTGTATCTGCCCACCTCCATCGACATAACCAAGATAGCACAAGTGTGTTGCTGGAGATTCTTGTCCCGCCAGGTCCCACTGCCCTTCCCAGCCCCAAATAAGCACACAGATGCTGGATTAATTATAAAACTGTTGGCCGATGGCTAGGGCTTCTTATTGGCTAGCTCTGCCTTAATTATTAACCCATAACTGCTCATCTATGTATTTCTACATGGCCTTGTCTTACCGGAGAACGCCTCCTCCTCCTAACCTCCCGGTCTTTTTGGCGTCCTTTTTGCTGCACCTCTCTGCCTACCTTTCCCAGAATTCTCCTACCTCCTCCTCCTAACCTCCCGGTCTCTACATGGCGTCCTTTTTGCTGCACCTCTCTGCCTACCTTTCCCAAAATTCTCCTTGTCTCCTAGGCCCTCCCCTCTTCCTGCCTCTATGGCCAAACAGTATGTTATTCATCAACCAGTAAGAGAAACATATACAGAAGGACATCCCCCATCACATGTGTGCAGCACAGCACCTGTACCAGGTATTCCTGTCCTTGCTCTGACCAAATACACAGAGCCAGCTTAAGGAAGGAAGGGAGGGTTTATTCTGCCTCTCGGTTTGAGGCTAGAGTCTATCATGGGGGGGGCGTGGCTGCAGGAGCCTGGGGTGGCTGGCTGGCTATATTACGTGGGAACTCAGGAAGCAGGGAGAGATGAAGGCTGCTTGGTGTTCAGTTCACTTTCTTCTTTCCCCCATTTCGTCCACGCCCAGACCATAAATGGTGTTGCACACATTTAACTTAGGGTGGATCTTCCCTACTCAGTTAAGCCTCTTTGGAAACACCCTGGGCCTCATCCTGCATGTCTTTGGACTTGACCTGACCTGGGGCCACAGGGAATGAAGAAACAACAAATACAAGTAAAGCTGGGACCAGGTGGGTGGTACACTCAAGTGGCGAGGCACCAGCCAGGAAGCTCACCACATTAGGAATTCTCTGCAGGGGAGCAGCCTTAGACTGAAGTCATCTGGGGTGGGGGCTGCAGTCAGTACTTTCTGCTCCTGCTGGTCAACCCTAGAACAGGAAGAAGGCCTTGCCGTTCCCATGAGTCTGGAATATTAGCGTCCTTGACAGGGCCGTGCTCATGTCAACAAAATGCATTGACCCGGGGCTTCACCCACTCCCTACAACCCTCACAGATATCCCAATGGTATGTCTCCCAGGTGCACCCAAATCTCAATATGAAAATGAAGATGAACCCCTCCCTCCATTGCAAAGGAGCCCTTTTGATGAACACACTAGTCAGAAAATAGACTATAAAAGTTATAAAAGAAAAAAGGTTATAAACAATGATTTCATGGGTGTTCAACCTCATTAATCTGGGATACATACAAAAAGACACTTTGTACTCCAAGCACCCTCTCTCACCTACGTTAGCCATGACAGGCAGCCTCTGGCATCATAGAATTGCAAGGACAGTGTGCTATGGACATGACCGGGCCAGAGAAATGGCTCAGTGGGTAAAGGAGCCTGCTGCCAAGCCTGCCAACCTAAATTTGATCCTTGGAATCCACATGAAAACTGCCTCTGACCTTCATATGTGTGCCATGACACAAGCATATGGGTATTCATGCACAAATAGAAGACAGAGAGGCAGATAGATGAAAAAAAATGAAATAGGAGAACATAGAAACAACCTAATGGTCCATCAGTCAAGTGGCCGGTCTCAGGACACACCCGTCCCTGCAGTTCTCGCAGAATAGCGGTGTCCTTCAATGTGGCACAATTCCCTCAACACTGAGAGTGAAACATCACAGTGCCCGAAGCCTTTGGGAAGGCCTTAGCACATCACACACTGTGGGTGTGGCCAGAGAGGGCCAGGTCAGTCAGGTGGCCACATTGTTTAGTCACATGATTGCTTCTGGGTGGAAAGATTAGGTTTTTTGTTTTGTTATAGAGAATGCAGATGGGAGGATTTGCAATGTGTCTGTTTTCTTCCCTTGGATTGTCTGCATAGCAGGAGGGAGGCTGCCTTGTCAGAAATACTGGCCTCATTTCCTTCCTTCCTTCCTTCCTTCCTTCCTTCCTTCCTTCCTTCCTTCTTTTCCTTCTTTTCCCCTTGGCTTTTTGAGACACTATGTATCCCTGACTAGCCTGGGCTTTCTTTGTAAAAGAGGAGATATAGTAGGTAATTACCAATACGGAGTCAGGTAGAAATATAAGGGTATTTAATAGGGAAAAGCCTTACTTACAGAGCGGACAAGCCAGCCGGTGGTAGTCTGTACAGCAAGAAGCAAAGCGCCCTCACAAGCCCTCAGGTACTCCTGTAGCCAGCCCCTAAGAAGGCGTGGCTACAGCTTCCCCTACAAGGAGAGCCTCAAACTCACCGAGATCCAGCTGCCTCTTCCTCCCCAGTACTGGAATGAAACCATACCATGCCTCATTTTCTGGCCTTGAAGATATACATGCAGGCTAGGGGGTGCACCATGGTGGTAGAACACTTGCCTAGCATGGGTGAGGCCTAGGGCCCAGTTCCCACTACAGAAAAAAGAAATACACACACACACACACACACACACACACACACACACACATATATACATACCATGTCACTAGGTGATATCGCCTATGAGGCCAGCACCCATGTGCTGTTCCCTATGGAGCCAAGTGTGATAGCGTAAAGGATGCCTGACATATCTGTAATTAAGAGAAGGAAGCTGGGGCTATGGCTCGGTTGGTAGAGTACTTGGCTAACATTCTGAAGCTCTGGGTTCAAACCCCAGTATCACATAAACTGGTGGTCCACACCTGTAGTCCCAGCACTTTGGAGGCAGAGGCAAGTTCAGAAGTTCAAGGTCATCCTCTACTACACGGGGAGTTCAAAGCTAACGTGGGCCACTTGAGACCTTATCTCCAATCCAAAAGAGAGGGAGAGAGGTCCAGGATAAGGAATCAGGTCATGGATTTACAGAGGTCAGAAAGTCCGCTCATCCTGTCTGCACGCTGGAAGCCAGGGAGGCTTCCCAGAGACTCCATTCAGACTTAACCCAAGAGTCTGAGATCCAAGGGAATGCATGGGGACCATCCCTGGTCCAGGGCATGAGAGAATGTGAGCTGTCCCAGTTCCACAGTGAGTCAGGAAAGAGAATCAGTTACCCACATATCAGTTACCCATAATTCCCCACCCCTGCCACGTGCACAGGTGAGTTCCTTGGAAGAATAATGTGAGAGATGTCAATGCTACGTATGGCCCAGCTGTCCCTTCTCTACTTGGGGACACCCATCTCAGTTAAGAACCACAGTGTAAGCACTGAACCTTTGGCTAAAGGACCCAGCTGGGCATTGGCATAAATATTCTGCCCAGTAAGTTATGAAACAGGAAAGGCGTATGGCCAGGTTTGCACCCAAACAACACCAAGAGTCGTGTCCACTTATCCCCTAAATCTAGGACCAGGTCCCTTGATCTTCATGTTAGTTACCTGACAAAAGCAACTTCAGGAAGGAACGGTTTGTTTGGACTCAGAGTTGAGGGCACAGTCTGTCGTGAGGCGGCTGGTCACATGGCATCCACGGTCAGGAAGCAGAGAGAGATGGGCGCTGGTGCCCAGCTCAGCTTCTCCTTGTTATTCAATTCAGGACCTCAGCCCATGGAATAGTGCCGCCTACATTTAGGATGGGTCTTCCCACCTCAGCTAACCCACTCTGGAAATCCCTTAGGGGCAGGCGTCTCTCTTAGCTGCTTCTAGATCCTGCCTAGTTGACAATCCCATTAACCATCACAACCTTGATGTATTCGTTCCCCCATCTGTAAAATGGGCATAGTAAAAGCCCTTATAGTGCAGTTAGAAGTGAGAACTTGGTTCCTCCAAGCTAAAATATTTACTGATTGCTTCTAGAGCCCGCATATGGTTTGCAGAGTTAGTATGTGCAGACCTGGTCCTCAAGAGCAGCCCCGAGTCCACTTTTCGTGGCCTTTCAGTGACTTGAGTGTGTGCTGACTCTCTGTTTGTCATCCTGCAGCCAGGAGGAGGAGGAGGAGGAGGCTTCCTCACGGTACTATGTACCCAGCTACGAGGAAGTGATGAACACAGGCTACTCGGAAACCAGGGGGCAGGAGCAGAACCCGAGACTAAGCATCTCTCTCCCCTCCTATGAGTCGTTGACGGGGCTCGACGAGACAACCCCCACGGGCACCAGGGCTGACACAGAGGCCAGCCCAGGGCATGCTCCGGACAGGCAAAACTCCAAGCTGGCCAAACGCCTGAAACCACTCAAAGTTCGAAGGATCAAATCTGAAAAACTTCACCTCAAAGACTTCAGGATCAACCTCCCAGACAAGAATATTCCTCCTCCCTCTATTGAGCCTTTGACTCCTCCTCCGCAGTATGACGAGGTCCAGTCGAAGGCCCCTGATGCCCGGCCTCCCGACTGAACGGCCCTTCTGACTTCACCCCCTCCTGTCTCACCCTCCACACCGACAGACTGCACCGAAGTCACTTCAGCCCCAGACAAGGGGTCAGGGCACACTTAGCCACTGTGATGGGGATTCTGGGTAGAGGGAGTGACCAAGGGTGTTTCACAGAGCCTCACGTAGCGGGAGCATCAGAAGGATGCTGGGAGCTTGTGATACTCTGGACCGCACGCAACAAGGTGTGCGACCTTGGCATCCCCTCCACCTTCCTTCTCAACTCGGAATCATTGACAACACACTCCTCTTCTGAGATGGGACAGGATCCTTAGTGACTGGTGTAGACCGAGGCTGTCTCCTTTTGCTTCCACTGCAGTTGCTGTGTTTCAAAAGGAAACCAAATTTAGTGCTTACTTTCTTCACTGAAGCCTTGAACAGGCAGGGAAATCGGCTCAGCATTGGCCAAAAGGACTGTCTGGTGAATCAAGTGACAACTGGGAGTGTCGGGGAGGCCCCTAGAGGCTCCTGGTGCTGTTGGTTCTTTGAGGGTCTAAGGCCTGATGACCTTCAGCATGTGGCACGTGAGGTGGTTGTCTCAGTGCACTGCTCTCCTGTGGGTATTGAAAGGCAGGAGAGGAAAAGTTGCTGTTCGTGTCTCCTCAAATGCCATGCGGCTGGGCATTTTATAATAAAGTGTTTTATATGTGGCACACCTGACCATTGAGTCATTTTAGCAGGATAATACCAATAATAACAGCTAGTCAACGTGGACACTTAATTGACAGGGAGCTGTGTTCTGTGGACCAGAGGTGTTATCCCATGTCCCCTGTACTCACGTCTGGTGCCCTGTTATTCTGTGGATAGCTCACAGGCTTGGATCCTCAAAGGCACCCGTATTGCACCACTAACAAGTAGTTCTGAGCTTAGACCCGCTGGCTCCAGAATCTGAGCTGTTACTCTCTCTGCCGAGGAACTTTCTGACTACTTGGAAGGAGACGTGAAGCTGCCCTGTCAACCCGCAGGTCACACAGAAGGGACTGGCAGCTTAGAGTAGGCCCACACCCCATCCCCAGGCAGCCAGGAAGGAGTCCAGCCTGTCACCTACCCCCAGCACCGACTGGAGATGTGTCCTCTAGGAGGACATGGTGTCTACAGTGCAGTACCCACCACTATGAAACACCAGTAATCCCAGCACTCAGGAGCTGGAGGCAGGAGGGTCGAGGTCATCTTCTGTGAGTTCAAGGCTAGCCTGAGCTACATGAGATCCTGTCTCAAAACACAGAGTGTATAAAACAGAGTCTCTGTGTGTGAATGTGTATATGTGTGTGTGTGTGTGTGTGTGTGTGTGTGTGTGTGTGTGTGAGAGAGAGAGAGAGAGACAGAGACAGAGACAGAGACAGACAGGGACAGACAGGAGGACAGAGAGAGAGACAGGGAAAGAAGAGGGATTTAAGGGTTTGTTTTTACTTTTCAATTTTTTAAAAAAGAAATTAGGGGTGGAGGAAGACTGAAAAAGTAAAAACAAAAGAAAAGCCTTGTTCTCTTTCGGTTCTTCTTGTCATTTTTTTCTTTGGGTACTAAGAATTTAATATACCCCCCCATACACCACACCACCATAACCACCACGCACACACACCACAATCACACAATCACCATCCTCATCACCATCACTACAGCCACCATGATCATTACCACCATAACCACACACACACCACACACACACACACATACACACACACACACAC